CCGCCACCGCCAAGGCTGCCGCGGAGCTGCTGCGCGACCACTGCCCTGCCGCTGCCCCCCAGTGGAAGGTGAAGGTCATGGACTACGGCTCCCAGGAGCTGCGGCAGCGGGCACTTGAGCACTACGCCATCGCGGACGGGGAGAAGAACAGCAGCTTCTACGACAACATGTACATCAACACCATGGCCCTGGACGAGAACTTCCAGGCCAAGAGCCAGTACGTGTACCACATGGATGCGCAGTGGCGCCTCTACAGGAGCAACTTCTCGAGGAGCACCCCTAACTTCATCGAGAAGGCCCTTTCTCTCATGAAGTCGGACAGCCGGGTCTACATGGCCTCGGTCATGAACACGTTCAACCTGGAGCCCCAGAAGAATCCCTACAACAAGTTCGCAGTGATTCCTGGCTCCGTGCACGGCAGCACCCCGATCGAGCGTGTGAAGGGCATGCTGCAAGGCTGGAGCAAAGACCAGTGGCTGTCGCAGAAGCGCCCTCTCCGCGGGGAGGCCTTCCACGGAAAATGGGAGGACCCTGAGGCCAACCAGAAGATCGCGCTCTTCAAGATGAACTGGGAGAAGTGGGGCGGCATCGTCACCCGCCACCAGTTCCTCATGGACACGCAGCGCTTCAAGACCCTCTTCCCGCTCGAGGAGTGGGACACCGCTGCGGAGCACATGTGGTCTTCCAACATGAACAAGAAGGCCCCTGACAGCGCCTTCCAGATCTACTTCAACGAGACGGTCGGCATCTTCGCTGGCCCCTCCGAGGCCTGATCATACATCTGAAGGGCTCGGCCTCACGCCGCCGGCCTCCCTATTGACTGCATGCATGGGCGGGCTGGCTGGGCTGACAGGCTGGGCGGCCGATTGGTTCCAGTGGCCGCGTTCACATGCGTCCACCCCGCCCACCGCATGACCATTTCGGCACACCCCTCACACGGTTCGTGGCCCCGTAGGGAGCTCCACCCAATGCCCTAGTGGCCGCGTTCACATGCGTCTACCCGCCCAGCGCATTCCCATATCGGCACACCCCTCACACGGTTCGTGGCCCCATAGGGAGCTCCACCCAATGCCCCAGTGGCCGCGTTCACATGCGTCCACCCCGCCCGCCGCATGCCCATTTCGGCACACCCCTCACACGGTTCGTGGCCCCATAGGGAGCTCCATCCAAGGCCCCAGTGGCAGTAATAGAGGTAGTAGTAGTAGTAGTAGTAGTAGTAGTAGTAGTAGTAGTAGTAGTAGTAGTAGTAGTAGTAGTAGTAGTCGCAGTAGTAGTAGTAGTAGTAGTAGTAGTAGTAGTAGTAGTAGTATAGTAGTAGTATAGTAGTAGTAGTAGTAGTAGTAGTAGTAGTATAGTAGTAGTAGTAGTAGTAGTAGTAGTAGTAGTAGTAGTAGTAGTAGTAGTAGTAGTAGTAGTAGTAGTAGTAGTAGTAGTAGTAGTAGTAGTAGTAGTAGTAGTAGTAGTAGTAGTAGTAGTAGTAGTAGTAGTAGTCGTAGTCGTAGTAGTAGTAGTAGTAGTAGTAGTAGTAGTAGTAGTAGTAGTAGTCGTAGTAGTAGTAGTAGTAGTAAGTAGAGTAGTAGTAGTAGTAGTAGTAGTAGTACTAGTAGTAGTAGTAGTAGTAGTAGTAGTAGTAGTAGTAGTAGTAGTAGTAGTAGTAGTAGTAGTAGTAGTAGTAGTAGTAGTAGTAGTAGTAGTAGTAGTCGTAGTAGTAGTAGTAGTAGTAGTAGTAGTAGTAGTAGTAGTAGTAGTAGTAGTAGTAGTAGTAGTAGTAGTAGTCGTAGTAGTAGTAGTAGTAGTAGTAGTAGTAGTAGTAGTAGTAGTAGTAGTAGTAGTAGTAGTAGTAGTAGTCGTAGTAGTAGTAGTAGTAGTAGTAGTAGTAGTAGTAGTAGTAGTAGTCGTAGTAGTAGTAGTAGTAGTAGTAGTAGTAGTGGTAGTAGTAGTAGTAGTAGTAGAAGAAGAAGAATAAGAAGTAGTAGTAGTAGTTGTTGTAGTAGTCGTAGTAGTAGTAGTAGTAGTAGTAGTAGTAGTAGTAGTAGTAGTAGTAGTAGTAGTAGTAGTAGTAGTAGTAGTAGTAGTAACAGTCGTAGTCGCAGTCGTATTCGTAGTTGTTTTTGCTGTGGCCTTTTTTTATTGTAGTCGTATGCTTACATTCTTCAGTTGTATATCTCAGACTGCGCCCCGTGTGATCCAAGAACTTCGCAGTCGATTCAGAGGAGGCTTTCGGGACTCGCTGATGAGCTGCTCATTGCCGTTTCGGGAACGTCCCAGCAGCATAGCAAGAGCGTCTCAGCAGTCTCTCCGGACCCTCCTCAGGATACTCCCAGGAACCTCCCAAGTCATCTCGAAATCATTGGAAGAGCCTATCAACAACATTTCGTGAGCCACTCAATAGCCTCACATAGACCTCTCATGGGCCTCTCCTGAGCCTCTCCTGAGCCATTCGATAGCCTTCCATGGGCCTCAAGAGTCTCTCAGGAACCCTCCTCAGGAGCTTTTCCGGACCCTCTCAGGATCCTTTTCAGGACCCTTTTCGATGTCATCTCAAGAGCTTGTCGAGAGCCTGTCAGGAGCCTCTTAGGAATCTGTCATGAGCCTGTCGGGACCTTCCGAATAGCCCCTCAGGAACCGCTGAAGAGTCTCCCAGTAGCTGTTCAAGACCCTCCCAAGAACCCAGCATGACCTTCCCAGAAGCCCCCCACGAGCTTTCCAATACTTTTGTCAGGGGCCTCTCCGGCGCCTCTCGGGCACCTGCCGGGATTTTCCCAGCAGCCTCTCGGAGGCTTCAGAAAAAGCCTTTCGTCGGTTTGCCAACAGCCTCTCGTGAGTCTTTCGGGAGCATCAGGAGGAGGAGAAGGAGGAGGAGGAGGGGGGGGAGGAGGAGGAGGAGGAAAAGGAGGAGGAGGAGGAGGAGGAGGAAGACCATCCCAGGAGCCTCTTGAAAAAAGACATTGGCCTCCTCTCAAGACCTCTTGGGTGAACATCGGAGGCCTTTGGATGAGGAGGAGGATAAGGAGCGGGAGGAGGGGAGGGCTGGGGAGGAGGAGGAGGAGGAGGGGGAGGAGGAAAAGGCAAGCTAGGTGCGCTCGCGTCATATCTGACATCCTACCCCACCCTCCCATCCCTTACCATTGCGTAGATCCCCTCTCTACTCGCACAGTCGGATGTCGAGCAGGGCAATGATCCCGAAAGGGTACGCGATGCATTGTAGAGCACGGCATGGCATGGCGTAGAAGAGCACCGCAAAGCGTAGTATCAACCTAGCGTTGCATTGCATGCCGTGGCATGGCACGGGAAATGACGCCATCGCTGCAGCGGGAGCACGAGTCGGAACGAACGGAAGCGCGGAAATGAGGCCAGCGCTGCAGCGGGAGCACGATTCGGAACGAGCGGAAGCACGGAAATGAGGCCAGCGCTGCAGCGGGAGCACGATTCGGAACGAGCGGGGCCCGAAAATGAGGCCAGCGCCCGCGAGAGCAGCATTTTGGGGAAAAATGTAGGCGAAAACCCAACTCCAGGGAATCCTGTGTGTAAAAAACAGTACGCGGGGGGGGGCTAAAACTTTCAAGCCGTCATCAGGGGAAGAGGGAGAGTAGTATTCATATTGAGTCATTGTGGAGGAGGAGGAGGAGGAGAAGGAGGAGGAGGAGGAGGACGAGGAGGAGGAGGAGGAGGAGGAAGATGAGAAGGAGGGGATCATACTCGCTGCGATTCGGTTCGCTGGCCAGGGCCGCGATTCCAATTCGATTCCTTCCATTCGGGCTGATTCACCTGCATCGGCCGGTGGCAGTCAGAGCTGGGAGCGGCGATGCGATGTCGATCCACTTCGGGACGACTCGCTGGCGATCCGATCCGTTTCCGATCCGATGCGATTTCGCGCTTGGATCCAGCTCGAGCTTGCTTCCCATGACCTTTCCATACCCTATCAGGACACATTCAGGATGAGCTTCTCAGGAGCCTCTGATGAGCATTTCCGCATCTTGCCACTAGTTTGTTTCTTGGGATGATTGCATGTGGCCCAGGGCACACCCATATTCTGAGAGCGCGTTTCGAGGGTGGTGAAACCATGTTTCCGAGCGCAGAGGGTTCACGCGCGTTTGCAGCTTCAGAGCTGAAGAAACGGAGGAACTGGACAGTTATGTGCTTACGAGGTCTAATGGGGATGGGCCGGTTCAGAAGAAGTTATGCTTGCCGATGTGACCTGTCTGAAACATGCTGCAGCGCTGCTACTTCCGCGTTATAGTGGCAAGAGCTGACTTGCTCAGTTGCGGAAGCATGGCCCCGCAGCCTGATGGCCCCACGGGTGGGGCCCGCCGATGATGTCATTCCAGGCGCTCCACGAGTCTCTCGGGTAGCTTCTGGGCTCGATGGGAGCGGACACTTCCAGAAGACGTGATCACGCTTTTGATCTTCTGTAGAAGAGTGGAGCGCGTGACTTCGACGGTTGCGTTCATGCATGCGCATATCTTGCTTCCTTCCTGCGTCCCTTCATTCTTCTCGCAGCCATTCGCATCTTCCTCCGTTTCTTATTTTTCCCTTCTACGGAGACTTTCATCATGTGTCGAGTCCTTTCAGCCCTTGTGTGCACTTCCTCTACCACGTACTTTCTCGTCTGTGAATTGTATCTTTACCTGCCTGCTACTTGTCGCCGCCTCCTGCCCTCCCTTCTGCCTTCTGCTCTCCTCTTCCCCTTTCTGCCTGTATTTCGGTTCGTTTGCACCTTCCACTCTGACCTTCAGTCCTGTCCCAGCATCATGTTCGTTCGGCATCCACCCCGTAAGAATTCATCATTCGCATGTTTTTTCTTCCTCTCTCTCTCTCTCTCTCTCTCTTCTTTCTCCACACAGCTACACATATGTATACATACATATATATAGATGTTTACAGACATGTGCCTGTAAGCAAATGTGCGTGTGTGTAGATCTCCCAACACATCTCTACATCGCACTCTCGTCGTTCGTTCTGCTGCCTCTTCTCACCCCTGCGATTCGCACATGTGGTTACTCTCTCCTTGCTCATACCGCTTCGCATGCTCGCTTCCCTCTGCGTTCCCCCTGTCGCCTGCCCATGGCCGGTAGCTGCAGGCTCTACTGCCCTTGCACATCCAGTCACCTTTGCTTCAGTCTACTGCGCCGCACCATGCCGATGCTGCGCTCCGCGGCGGTGGCCACGCTCCTGCCCTGGGGCGCCCAGGGCATCAAGGCACAGGCCGAGCCCGCCGATGTGCCCTCTTGGATGACTGCCCAGGAGGCGCGCCCGTGGGGCCAGGAGCTGTCGTTCGACGACCTCGAGGACAAGGCCTCCGAGGACCAGCTCGCCAAGACGAAGGAGCTCAAGGCGTCGGCGCTGGAGGGGATCAGGGAGTCGATGTCGAGCAACCTGCACAGGGCGGAGATGGAGGTCGACGCCTCGTCCGCACTGGAGGGCTTCGCGGAGCCCCTGAACGAGACAGAGGCCGCCGAGATCGCCGACGCGTGGCTCACCGTCCCGGGCGCCGATGTCACCTTCAGCTACAACACCCACTGCGATCCGGTGGCGGGCTGCCGCAGCAGCGGCCACAAGTGGGGGCAGCCGTCCTTCCAGGAGATGCACCGCAATGTGCTGGCTTCCCTGCGCGCCATGCGCTTCTGTTTCAGCGACATCCTTGTCATTCTCGACGTTCCCCACGTGGGCCACGACAAGCTCGGCCCAGAAACGCCCGGAAACGTCACCAGCCACATAGTCACCCCTAAAGAGGCCCCAGGGTCCTTCAGCGAGATGCGGCTGGCGGCTGGCCAGATCGTGAAGAGGTTCAACGTCGACTCCGGGCTCTCGACGGCGGCCACCGCCACCGCCAAAGCTGCCGCGGAGCTGCTGCGCGACCACTGCCCTGCCGCTGCCCCCCAGTGGAAGGTGAAGGTCATGGACTACGGCTCCCAGGAGCTGCGGCAGAGGGCACTTGAGCATTACGCCATCGCAGATGGGGAGAAGAACAGCAGCTTCTACGACAACATGTACATCAACACCATGGCCCTGGACGAGAACTTTCAGGCCAAGAGCCAGTACGTGTACCACATGGACGCGCAGTGGCGTCTTTACAGGAGCAACTTCTCGAGGAGCACCCCTAACTTCATCGAGAAGGCCCTTTCTCTCATGAAGTCGGACAGCCGGGTCTACATGGCCTCGGTCATGAACACGTTCAACCTGGAGCCCCAGAAGAATCCCTACAACAAGTTCGCAGTGATTCCTGGTTCCGTGCACGGCAGCACCCCGATCGAGCGTGTGAAGGGCATGCTGCAAGGCTGGAGCAAAGACCAGTGGCTGTCGCAGAAGCGCCCTCTCCGCGGGGAGGCCTTCCACGGAAAATGGGAGGACCCTGAGGCGAACCAGAAGATCGCGCTCTTCAAGATGAATTGGGAGAAGTGGGGCGGCATCGTCACCCGCCACCAGTTCCTCATGGACACACAGCGCTTCAAGAGCCTCTTCCCGCTCGAGGAGTGGGACACCGCTGCGGAGCACATGTGGTCTGCCAACATGAACAAGAAGGCCCCTGACAGCGCCTTCCAGATCTACTTCAACGAGACGGTCGGCATCTTCGCTGGCCCCTCCGAGGCCTGATCATACATCTGAAGGGCTCGGCCCCACGCCGCCGTCCTCCCAAGTGACTGCATGCATTGGCTGGCTGGCTGGGCTGGTCGGCTGGTTGGCCGACTGGTTGGCAGCTGGCTGGCTGCCCAGCTGGCTGGCCGGCAGGCAAGCTGGCTTGTCGGCGTGCTCGGACCGCGTATCCACGCTTTCTACGAGGGGTCCTGGCCTCGAGAGCGCGATCTGCTTGTTTCGTCGAAGGGCCGTGGCCTCGGAAACGCGGACCGATTAGTTTTTTGTAATGAATCGCGGTCTCGGGGGAGCGTGTAAAAACAGTATTTTCCAACAGACAGAGTGGGGCTCTTGCTTCCTCTACCCCCCGCGCAGGAACATAGGACCGACCCACACCATCGTCAACATTCTTTGCATCACCACAACACTCAACAGCATCACTCTCATACTAATCATTCTCGTCAGCGTCGCTCTCATCCGTCCTCGTCTTTATCACTCTCACCATCATCATTTTTCCAGCACGTGCTCACCGCCCTCACCCAGCCTCATCATCACTCTCACCCGCAGCCTCGCCCTCGCTCCCGCGAGCACCCTGTGAAAACACAGGTGAGTGGCCCTCCCTACGTACGGGCTCCCACCAAAGACAGTCGAATCCGAGCAGCTATCTGGATACGTTGCGAAAGCACTGGTGTAGAGGACCTCTTCGCTCTCAAAGGGTCACGACCAATCGTAAAAGCATTTGTGAAGAACCTTCCTAGGGCTCCCACCGAAGTCTGACGAATCCGAGCGGTTATCGTGATTCCCTGTGAACGCACGGGTGGAGTGGACCTCCCGCTTTCGCATGGCCGCGACCTCGAAGCATTCGCGTTCGCATGGCCGCGATCCCAAGTCCCAAGTTCATTCCCAGGAGTCCGTTCTCCAAGGGTCATGATCTTGTGTATCTTCCGAAGGGTCCGCGCTCTCAGGGCCACGATTCCTCAGAACTTGCACGTTACAGGTCCCAAGAGACGCCTCCAGGTGTGTGACGATGGACCCAAAGAGAAGCACGCACCGCTCGCCCCATAAGGAGCTCCACTGGATGCCTCAGTGCCAGGTTTCGTATGCGGCTCCCCGTTCGCCGCATGTCCATGTCGGCACACCCCTCACACGGTTCGTGGCCCCATAGGGAGTTACCGAAGGCCCCGATGACAGGGTTCACATGCGGCCCCCCACCCACCGCATGTCCATGTCGGCACACCTTTCACACGTTTCGTGGCCTTATAGGGAGCTCCACCGAAGGTCCCATTGCCAGAGTTCGCATACACCCCCCCCGCCCCCCAACACATACACGCACGCACGCACACCCACACACACACACACACACGCTCACACACGAACACGTACAAACACACACAAGCACACAAGCACACAAACACACAAACACACAAGCACAAACAGACACACACACACACCCATACGCACACACACACATCCACACACACACACATCCACACACACATTCACACACAGAGACGCACACAGAGACACGCACAGACACATTCACACACACACACGCACCTACACACACTTACACACAAACGCACGCACGCACGCACGCACTCAATCACGCACGCACGGACGCACGCACGCACGCACTCACGCACGAACGAACGCAGGCACGCACGCACGCACGCACGCACGCACGCACGCACACACATAAAACAACGCAACACACCACACCGCACCGCACCACACCACACCACACCACACCACAACACAGCACAACACAACACACCACACCACACCACACCACACCACAACACAACACAACACAACACAACACAACACAACACAGCACAACACAGCACAACACAACACAGCACAACACAACACAACACACACAACACACACAGTACACTTCGGATCGCGTGTTGATCCGCACAGAGGCCTCGACGGACTCGTGGGTGGAACTCATGGACAGGCTTTGCAAGGGGTGGGAGCTCAGCATCATATCAAACATCAGCCACAAGACGAGCAAGTTTGGTGGCCGTCCTTGGGCGTGCCCTACTGCCACGGCCTCCTCCATGGTGGCTTCGCGACGACGCCGGAACAGACGCGGGAGTGAGGATCAGTCGACAGATTTCATTACTGAGGTCAGGGTCAACGGGGAGACGGGGATCCAGGAGAAGGCGACTATGGACGCTTTAATCAACCACAACTGCACCCAGACAGGCAGTTCCTTGACGGCGCACTCGGGCGGCTCTCCGACGACAGCCGGCACGTGGAAGCATCTGGCGTCCTACGATCCTGCTGCTGCTCCAGGCCGGGCCCGTCTCTGTCTGGAAACCAGCGAGGACGTCCAGAAAGTACATGCTGCACTTCACGGCCAGATACTGCAGGCAGGTCCGGACTCTCTCTCCATCACGGTCCACAATGACATGATGGACGCGGCCACCTTGACGGGAAACGGGAGGGGGGCGCGGTAGGCAACCCACCCGCCCTTGGTCTCCGAAGGGGTTGCCCTTGCATGCATGCTGGAATTCAGATCTACAAGGACGGCACCTCTTACTGGATTTTGGACCTCGACTTTGCCCTCCCCAGTTCTATTGAACTGCCGAGTGTTTCGCTCCAGGACCAGTCTGGTGTTCGGGGAGGCTCGCCGCCCATGAATCCACAACCATTCCGTTATCTTCCTCGTCTTTCCGTCCATGTTCTTCTCGATGCGCAGGGCCTGTTGGATGCGCAGGGTCTATTGGATGCACAACGTTATGCGGCAGATGTCCCGGTGCATATTCTATGCCGTCAGCTTCTTCATCAAGCACTTGGGCTGCAGCCCGCTGTGCGCTCACCTGTACCAGTCGTGGCTGCCCGTCCTCAGTAAGCCCGGCCCTTCCGCAGCAGCCCTGCGAGGGACCGTAACTCTCAGTTCGCAGGCAACGTGGCGCTGGTCTCCTGGAACATGCAGGCGTTGTTCGCCTCCGAGCCGCACAGGCTTTCCCAGAAGTCTAAATACGTGCACCAGCTCATGGCCACCGACGACGTGGGCTGCTGGTCGGAGACACACGGCAAGAAAGACGGTAACTCGTTGTGGCGTGGTCCCCGGCACTGCACCTCTTGGTGGTCCCCAGGCCCTTCGTCTGCAGCTGCAGGTCTGGGCATAACTGTGAAGGACGAGTTCCTGAAATTATTCGATCGTGGATGCCGGTGGGAAGTCGTACTCCCAGGTCGCGCTGCGGTCCTACCATTAGCATGCAGGCACGGTTCCCTAGACATCTAGAAGGTTTATTTTGACATTGGCGAGAAAGTACTTCCTGAGGACATGCATGAAACTGGCTGCGATCCAGCTGCCTTTGTTGCCTCTCCCGCGGAACTCTGGGAGGCCTTGCGAAGGATAATAGCCAATCGCATACGCCCACGGGACCAGGCGCTGAACATTATCAGCGGAGACTTCAATTACGTCATGGATCCTGCCGATCGCCGTTGCACCACTACCTACAGCAGACCACCGCGAGGCCAGCAGCTGGCGAAACTTGATCGAATCGCAGCACGGCGTCCACGAGCTGTTCCAGCCTGAGCTCACCTACGCTAGCCCAAATTTACGTTCACGGTTGGACCGTATCTATTGCAACCAATACAACGTTGAATATTTGAACAGAGCGATTTCATGCACCGCGCTGAGCTGGGATCCAGATCTTTCCAGGCACCGGCCCGTGAGCTTCCGGAAGAGAGTGCCGGATTCCAAAGCTGGTGGGAGCAGACCTATCCCAGTCCATATTTTAGAGCACGCCGATCGGCCTCGACTAGTCTCACTGGCATGGCAGTATCTATTTCGAGATCGCTCGGGGGCTTCTGCCGTCACCCAGCTCCGGCTGCCGAAGGAGGCCACGAGGACAGCAGAAACGGCTGTCAGCAGGCGGGTCGACGCCGCCTCGCCTCAGGAGGGAAAGAAACACACAGACATCAGTAATCGTCGATTCCTCAGAAAAGATAGGAAAATATGGGAAGTGGGGGGGAAGACAGAAACCCAGAAAATATAGTACAATATGGGGAATCCTTTTATTTGTATGTATTTATTTGTGAGCCTCAGGGCCCCTTCATCGCCGCCCGAGAACCTGGAAGATCGCATCGGGGTGTCGATCAAGTTCCTCCGGGCCTCCGAAACGGGCAGCCCCGAAGGGGTCTCTCGGTGTCTGGCCCGATATCTGCTGCTCCGGGATCTGGTCAGCAACCCGTGCGAGTTCACATCTTCAGCTGGACCGCGTCTTCGGCGCGTGCGCGCGCGCATCATGGAATCATCTACAGACTTTGCGATTGGAGAGTTGTCCGCCCTTCACGCTGTCCTCGAAAACCTTTTTGTGGATCAGGCGTCGCGGAGAAGATGGGAGAATCACCATTTAGTTTGCCGTCTGGCCCCAGGGCGCAGTTGTCGGCAGTTTGCCATCACCGACTCTTCCGGGGTAGCCACCACGGACCCGCGGTCGATGATTCAAATCCTGAGGAAGCACTGGGGCTATTCATGAAAAAAGTAGACGGACAACGCGGTCAGGGACTCGTGGCTCTTGGACGACGCAGAGAACCTTCCGCAGGATTATTCTTCGTACTTGCCGTGGCATCGCGTCCCATTGGACATTTTCCGACGTGCCATTCTCCTCGCTGGGGACTGTTCGCCAGGCCAGGATGGTACTCCTTTCAGAGCTTGGCGCCGAATCGTGGACGTCGCCGCCGGTGCCCTCCACGCTGCGTTCCTGGAGCTAGTCGGCGACGACGGCATGCGCGCTGTGCAGGAGGAGTGGGACACATTCAGCGAGCTCGATGGTGTTCCTGCCGAAGAAAGCCACGGCCACGCTGGCTGACGGGGCAGATATTTTTCCAGCTGGCAACATGCGCCCATTTAATATCACGAACACCAGTAATCGCATCTTGTGCGGGGCAGTACGGTTGCATATTGAACCCATCGTATCCCCGGGCGTATCTTCTATATAGCGAGGATTTTTGAGATTGCCCGCTGTCGCCCCTGACCTTCGCGGTGATCTCAGACGTGCTGCTGCGAAGGCTATCGCGGCTACTCCACTGGTCAGTGCTTCGCGCATGCGCCGATGACCTTGCGATGGTGCTGCCAGAAGGACATCGCGACTTGGGGGTGCTGGAAACCGTCTTCAGCGAGTGCGCGCGCGTCTCTAGACTGCCGCTTCGCCATGGCAGGTCTGTTTGGATTCCGCCGTCGTGCAAGTCTCACGCGGCAGCCGGAGAAGATATTCAGAGATGCGCGCCCACGTGGGGCGACTTTACCGTCGCCGGTCGGGCCAAGTATCTCGGTTTCTACATGGGCCCTGA